CAACAACAACAGCAGCAGCAACAGCAACAACAACAACAGCAGCAACCCTCAGTCATCCAACAGCGATCCAACATGTACATGCAGCCTCTTTACTACAACCAGTATGCTTATGTCCCGCCGTATGCATACCATCCCGATCAAGCCTACCATAACCACTTGATGAACACCAACCCAGCCTATCGGCAACAGTACGAGGAGCGGCAGCGACAGATGGCTGAACAGCATCGTGCTGCTGAAAAGAAGTCAGACGTAGCCATAAAAGAACGAGAGGCCTCCATGAAGGAGGAGTGGAAACAAAAAAGCCCCATGCCACCAAGCCTCTCCAAAGCCCCAAGTCAGTCAGACCTTGGAAAGACGTCGCAGCCCTCAAGTAAATCCAGGGACTCGCCATCTGAGCCCTCCTCCAAATCCCTGGGAATAAAGGTGGAGGACCCAAAGTCCCAGCAAGCCGAGGGGCTGAAGATGAAGCTGACCGAAGGGGGCCACCATGGAAAGGAAGACTCCAAGCAAGCACTGGAGTCCAGAGGTCAGGCAGGGATGGAGCAGGCTATGTGGTACAGACAGGTAAATACCAACCTGATATAACAGGGTTAGAACCACTGTGAGAATGTTTTTTTTTAATTATTTCAATCATTATTTAATAGAATTATTTCTAATTTGTGTTGACTTGGATCCTTTTTCCCGCCTTCAGCAGTATCCCGAGAGCCAGAAGCCCCAAGCAGAAGATGAGCACCAGCAACAACCACCTCGATGGAAAGATGAAAGGGACAGAGAACGGGAGCGCGATCGTAAATTAAAGGATGACAGGCCCAGGCCCAAGGACAGTCAAAGTGGGCCCAAGGAGGACAGCAAAGAGGGTAGTGATCCCAGGATCACTTCTGAGGAACACCGGGCCATGAGCAAAGACTCTCGTTCTAATCCTCACATGCAGTTCTCATCACCACTAGCACAGCACCAAGGCTACATGCCCTATATGCATGGTTACCCCTATGGACAAGGCTATGACCCCAACCACCCTGGATACAGGGGCATGCCCACAGTCATGATGCAGAATTACCCAGGTATGCATTTTGAAAACATAATGGCTGTTTTCGTCTGTGACTGATTGACTGAATTTTCTACATAGATTTGAAGCAATTTTTTCATAGTTTCGCTCGGAATTGCAGTTTGTTTGAAAATTGTAAAGCAGCATGAAATAATCATTTGGTGGGCAAAACCAAAACACAGCAAGTTAGATAGGTCGATTGATTTGACCTATGTTCCCAACAGTGGTTCTGAGTAGGATTATTATCTGTGGAAATTGCCTTTATTATACAAAATTGCCAGCATGTTTACATTCTCAATATTTTGATGATTGATGTGTGGGCAAAATTGCAAGCTCTTAGAAATACTACTTAGATTGGTTGAATTTGTGTTAATTCACAAATTCCTGGTAGGTTTGATATATGCAGCTCAAATATAGTACACATGTTCTAGTACAGTGTACATGTGTAATAAATAAATGTTAGAGTTTTTATGTCATCAGGCATGTTTTATTTAACATGCCTGATGATTGACCACCAGACATGGGAATTGTACCGTTGATATCTTACATCCATGTGGCCACAGAGGAGAAAGGGCTGTTCTTAAGTCACTTTGCAAATGAAATGAAAACTCCACATTTTGCTAAAAAATATGATCCCATATAAAGAAAATACGCTGAGACTGTGTAACTCTCAGTACCTGGATAAAGCCCTGTTAGGCAGACAGTGTGACATATTGCCTAGAAGTCAACATGGACTGGTTGGTGACCTAAAATCAATAGTGTTGACCATTCTGTTTTATTGATCTAAATGTTAATGAGACTAATCAATCATCAGTTGTCACTTTGGTATAATAAACCTAATTTATTTAACATATTTAAATGGTAAATGTTCTTCATCACTCATAGGTTCGTACCTACCCGGAGGCTATCCATTTTCTCCATATGGCAGTAAAATAGCCGGAGGTGAGGAAGGTAGCGACAAATCTCGCGCTAGCCCTACTGTCACCAAAACAGCAACGGACTCCAAAGCCCTGGATATCCTGCATCAGCACGCCAGCCAATACAAGAGCAAATCCCCAACAGTAGGTGACAAGCCACCCCATGACAGGGAGAGGGAGCAGGACCGAGGAGCTGGTGGAGACAGAGATCGGGAAAGGGAGCGTGAGCGGGAAAGAGAAAGAGACGTGGACCGACCACGATCCTCACCCTCCCAGCGCATGATGCCCTCTCACCACCACCTGGGATACCCCCTGCAATACGACCTGTCATACGCCACAGGTCAGTCAGCCTACGCATCCCTGCTTTGTGACAGCCACTGTACTAAATGCTGTACTGTTCTTACATACTTAAGGTGCTATTCATGCAGAGTAGATTAATGCCAGTTACTTAATTTTTTTAAATAAAAGGCCCACAGTCCTGAATACTAACTGTAAGTAGATGCAGACTGTTAAATTATGGAAGATCAGCGATCTAAGTTCAGAACCTAAATAGGAAATATCACTGATAGCCATACATTTTCCAACTCGCCATAGGTCTCTCCTCATCAGCTATTGTTGCCAGCCAACAAGCAGCAACCCCCACCCTCTACCCACCACCACGGAGGTGAGAACGGTAAGACCCCCCTTAGTCGGAGAGACACGCAGAAGGCTGACAGTGAAACAAAACACAAAGCTAATGAGACGCACAGAGCAATGGTTGCAACCCTGACAAATGCACGTTACAGATCTTGTGTTTTACATAAACAATGCACGTAACTCTAGTTGAAAACATTTAGGTTGGTAAGTACTGGCACAGAGGTAGATTGTTCTTTAAAAAATATACCATATGTTTCTTTGTCTCCTGTTTATTTGATTCGAAGAGAAAAGAACACTCTGCTCTCCTCTTTTCCTCACAAGACTTGAGGTGCAGATTCAGAGGCAGCAACCTGTAAAGAAAACAGATCCCAGCCAAACAAAGCCCTTACTACTGTGCTGCAGTCTAGTGCAATATGCAGTGCAGCATTTAGCCCCTCAGCCCCTCATCCATCCTAAGTAGGTCCTCTGAGGACAAGTGGATCACAGTGTTGATAATGGAGACATGGAATGAGCCCGCCAAGACACTCAGCCAGAGCAGCCTACACTGACATCTAGTGGCAGCTCTTTTAAATTACAAGTCATTTGAAAAGTAAATATTCACTCAGTTGCCAGTTTAAAACTAATGCAGTGTTATACAAAAGCAGTCCTGCCTTCATGAACTCATAATATTATAAAAACTGTACATCATAACATGAAGGATTTATTGCACTGACTGTTAGACTGCATTAGTATTAGCTAGGTGTGCCTAATAAACTGGCCACTGACTGTAAGCTGCATGTTCAGCAGCACCCTTTTTCTTCTTGTTTCTGTATTGTTATGTAATAAGTGATCTGATAATAAACAAGTATTTCCTTTGTATCTCTCGCAGGGAAACCTGACCGTCACACCTCAACCCTGCAAAGATTCATGTGACTGGCTCACATGAGAAGAAAATCTCCCGGGTGTTACCTTTTAGACATCAGTTGAATGGTGTTTCTATCTATATTTTTAGTTCTTCTGCCCCACGGATAGGCAGATTGTCGACTCTTTTTCTTTTTTTTTTTCCCCCTCCCCTCGTAAGTGACCCCAAATTTTCCAGACCTTGGACTGTAACAGGACTGATAGTAACCCAGGTTCAAAGCCATCACTCTGCCTCATCACGCAGAGGAAACACCAACCCGCTGATTATCTAGTCTTTGCACTGTCAACAAATACAATGCAAAAAGAGACAATTGGACTGCCAGAAAAGCTTTTTTCTTGTTGTTATTATTTGTTTTTTCTTTTTTCATTGACTGCATTGTTTTTTGTCACACGCAGAAAGAAATTGGCAGGGGATGTTGGGTGGCTGATGGGGGGGAAAGGGGAGTCAAACTAAATTAAAGACTGAAAAAAAAAGTGAATCATATTGAAATGATTTCAACTCTATGTCTTTGGCTTATTGTACGCCGTGAAACAACAGTATATCCTTAACTTGACAAATGTTTGGCTATATTTCGTGGGGAGAGGGAATATGGCAACAGCTGCTTTCTTCAGAGACTTAAGAGCCTGAGACTGAAGTTTTTTAATTTTCCATCGTCATTGTTGATTCCCATCCTCTTTTGAACCCTCAGTTCTTGTTTCAGGGATGATGTCGTCATGTTTTGCGAAGGGACCGCGCACACCTCAATGGAGAATAAACACTATTCATGTTTTCTTTTCTCAGAAAATACCGTACTCCATATCATTGTGTTCATCCTTGAATGTGTCTAAAGCTGGTATTACTCCTGTTTTTCCTCACAATGAAAGGGTCACATCTATCTTTCCACTCACTCAAACGGTGAAGCCACATTAGCGAGCGATGCGTTCACCGGTGGGGGGGTGTCATCACCGCATTAGGCCACTCTGTGGGTGTTTCTGTGTTTTTACTGTAAGATTTGTGCTTTGTTCAGCTCGTCAAGTTTGATCGTTTTTCTGTAAACAATGTGAAACTTCACTCAGCTCATGTATTTTTCTGCTGTAATATAGACTTTTAGCCTACGTTTATGTGCATAAATGTTTATATTTATCCCAGCACGCAACTGTTTAAAAACCTTCACTGTTAAATAGCTTTGGCCTTGACAGCGTTTAACGTTATGTGCTCAGATGATTTATGCTGCAGAGTCCCTAAACATCTCACTGTGCTTCTTCTTCTTTGCCCCAGCTTTGGTCATCTTGCTGCAGATTCTTTTTTTAATTTTTTTATGTGATTTACCTTTTAAACTTGGTTCACATCTCCATTCATCCCAGCATGCAGTGTGCTATCAGACTGGTTCCAGACCTCTGAGTGTTTCCAGCGATTCACCAGCAACTCAAACTGACAATTCAGTCAGTCAGTGAAAACAAAACAGTGAATCAGTTTGAGTTTGAGGCTATTGTGTCAAAGGTTGAACATTTCTCTCGGTGCTTCGCTTGCTCGTGTGGCTTCACCATAACACACATTCACCTCTCACAGCTCTTAGCATGGTTTTCTTACAAGCAGCAAGCTTTGGATCAGTCCCAGTCTGGGCCAATGAGTCTGATACGTCAGACACCAGGTTACTTTTTTCAGTTGCTGTGAGGTCAACTACTGGCACATTAAACTGCATGAAATGACTCCGAACGTCTTTCAGCCGTTACTGTTACAGATCAAACATGAACCATTCAGATGCAGGTCAATGAGGTAAAAAAAAAAAAGAAGGGCGAGCCAGTTAAAAACAGTCCCTCCAGGAATTTACGCAAATTCAACCAGTCGCCGCAATTTTGTCCAACCACCGCAACTTTTCCCCAAATTTGACAAATCGTTGTAGTTTCCTGTGCAAAAAAAACGTTTAGCCGCAAGTCACCAAACTCACTTCCTCGCTTCCAGTTGTGGAGATGCAGACCACGCAGACACGTCTCATTTTCTTCTTACTGGAACAAGTGTTCTTTTGATTTTTAATGAATTATACAAAAAAGCATTCCTCCAGCATTTTCATAGCAAACATTTACCTAAAAACATCACATTTTTAAAAGCTGCTGTGAAATCTGTCATTTTTAATCCATTAAAAAAGGCCTGTGAAATCCTGGAGGGACTGGAAAAGCTTGGAGCAAACGTGGTAAAGTGAGTTAAATGGGACCTTGATCGTGCACATATGTAGGAAGGCTCAAAGGTTCCCAATCTGCTGAAAATAAGAAGGTTGTTCGATGCTTTCCTTCGGATCCCGAACTGGTGGTCCCACTCTGTAAATTCAACTTTAAATCTACACGAAAACGCAACTCTCAATGTGTCCTGTTCTACCAGAAGACCTTTCTTGGCTTTAAATCACAGTTCTCTTATACCTCAGGGGTTGTAAGTGAAATTCTATCCACGTCGCATTGATTTCTTCTTCTGTTTATGGGTGTGGAGGAGAAAAAAAAAGCACATTTTCTGCTCTGAGCTGGAAGTGCTGCAGTGGTTCATTCAGAAATGACAAATTGGCTCAGGATAGGGAATTATTAAAGGTTTAATGACACTGTGCTGTTGTGGGCTGTGAACAGTCTTTTTACGTTCCTCCGCAGCATTATAATGAGTAGAATATTGACCATGTTGTCATTAAATTTAATTTTTTATTGATTTTGGTTTTACAATCACTTTTAATGTTCCCATTGTTGTAGTTTTTTTTTTCTTTCTCATTTGATACTGTATTTGTTCAAGTCCATAAGCCACCGGTTAGTCTCATGTCTGACACCCTCTGACGTTGGATGTTGGCTGTTTGTTGAGAGACTGCTCGCGATTACGAAACCGCAGCTCTTCATTTTGAGGTTCTCGGACATTCCCAGTAAATAAGTTGCCAGTTTCTCGTCCCACAGAAGTTTTGCAGGACGGTATGTCTTTGACTTCTTGCGCATCTTTTAAAGAAGTGGCTGACATGAATACGCTGAATGTGGTGGTGTTTGACTTGTACTTAATCTGTAAGGGTAATCTAGGCAGCTGTGATGTTGTCATTAAAGTCGGTGGGTTTTAGTACCAGCAGACTGCATACAGTACATATAGTTTTATCAGACAATGGTTGTGACAAGTGCATTTGTTCTCTCTCTGAGAGTAGTAATGTTATCTCAGTAGTAAAGCAAAGCCCAGTGAAAAATCATATATACTAAAGTGTATGAAAAGCCAGAAAAGTAATGTTTGCTATCAACATATTGGAAAGTGCTTGGCTCTTGTATTTTGCAGGACTGTATTTGTTTCATGGTGAAGAGTATATTTATTGGCCAGCAGTTGTCTCAATTGGTGCCTAGTTGAACATTCTTCTGTGAAAACGCAGAGACACTTGCTCGTTCGTCTTTTCCTGACCCGCCTACTGTCACACAAATCCCCCTCCCCTCTCCCTCTCCCTTCCCCTCTCCCTCCCCTACCCTCCCCCCCTCCAAAAAAAGTACCAGTTCTGGTGCTTGCAAGGATGTTTACAATGTCTTCATTTTCTTTCTGTGTGAGAAAATTCAGAACTCTTCGCCCTCTCCTCCTTTTTCCCGCCCTTCAGGAGTTTGTGTAAAGTGTACATTACCATGGTTCTTTTTTATACAATACTCTGTAACTTGCCTTTGTAAATTTGGGCTGGAAAAAAATAAATCTTTTTATGAGACAATCTGTCCTGGGAACTTCAATGGCTTGTGCTCCATCAATGCTGTGGAAATTCAGATAATGAGGCTGTTAAATGATCCCTGATGTCAGCTACCATTAAGTTTTCCAGTTTGCGTTTTTGTGCAGGTGTCATCTTCAGAGTAATATTTGTCCATCTTGACAGGACAGGCCGCTCGCAGGAAGGAAGGATACCTCGAGGACGACTCTTCTCCGCTGACCATCAAGAAAAGAGAGTCTCAGTCATCTCGGAACAATAACTCATTTATACGTTTGAGAGGGTCGTGGACATTAAACTAATTCATAGGTTTTAAGAGTCCGACACTGGTTTTGAATTAATATTCCTCTCCTGAAAAAGTCAGATGGATGATCTTAGAAATCCATATCAGAATATGTAAACTGCACTGTGACATTTGGCCACAGGAGAGCAGTGTCTCGAAAGAGCCAATGTCAGGTTTTAGGGAGATTCACCTGCTGACTGACCTGTTTATAAAGGTTTGACTTAAGTCACTATGTAATACTGAAATCACACACATTTTCATAATAAACTAATCTCTCAAAGTCCCCCCCCCCTTCTCTTTAAAAACAACTGCTTCTTCACTGTGCAGAATGATGTATGTGCTCACCTTAAAGGGGTCCTGTGCAGAGGTGCCGCCAAGGGGCCCACAGCAGTGCCCCATGTGCGTAATATCCCCCTGAATAATGAGCACTGGATGCATAATATCTCTCTATCTCATATTCTACTGTAGGTGCTATTCATTTAAATTAATAATGTATATTTTTCATAATAGAAAATAAAGCCAGGCGCTTCTGACGTCATACTCCAACCTCGATCTCATTGAAAAATGATTCTTCGCTGCAACCTTAAGCAGCATGTTGGACCAGCTGTTATAGTTAACTCACTCCTATCTGTCAGTTAGGATATTTTTAACTGCCCCCTAATGCTCCCGAACTGAGAGTGTACGCTCCGAGCATTAGCATAATGCAACATCAGTGACAGCGAGCGATTACGCCGGGGATGATTTTGTTGAGTGTAAATGTGAAATCTGATTATCCTCTATGCTCTCAGCTCGGAGGAGGGAGGAGGGCTGGAGAGAGAGAGAGAGGGAGAGAGGGAGAGAGAGGTTGGCTGGAGGAGAGATTCAGATGGGAAGGAGGGGTTAAGATAGCAATGTGCTGAGCCAATGGCTTTTCCACAGAGCAGCTGGCTGGCATCAGGACAGGACAGGCCGCTCAGAGGAAGGATACCTTGAGGACGGCTCTTCTCCGCTCGCTGTAGAACACCGAGGGTGACTTCCAGGAGGTGTTCATGGGATGCACTATCTACGCAGCCAGCCCTAAGGCCCTGCCCGCCGACGAGGCCCCAGGCCAGGACAGATACTACCAGCTCCCCCACTACCGCCACCCTCATGGTAACTGCAGTCAGAGGATAGCAGCCAGCAGAGCCAGGTCAGTCAGCACCACACAGGAAGTGCACTGAAGGTACCGAACGCTTGTCAGGGTGAATCCAGGTGAAAGCAACTGATGCTCAGTTAATGGCCCTTACTGAATCTGAGCCAATCACAGAGGAGATGTTAGAGGGTCAGATGTGTTCCAAGTGGGACAAAATGGGTTAAAAGTTTGTTTATGAAGAAAAATAAGACTTAATATGAAAAATATTGATAAAAATATAAATTTAATTACGGATTTAGACAAGATTTGTATTTATTTTTACAGTTAGGTGTCCAGTTTGAGTTTGGGTACATGAGCATTGTCAACAGTTTGCAATATTTTATCGTTTTATATATATATAAACATATATTAAATATGTTTTTTGAGGTTTGTTACACCTGCAGGTTGGACGCAGGTGAGTCAGTCTCGATTGGTTTAAAGAGTTTGCAACTCAAATGTTGTTAAACTTAATATAATCCACCTTTGTTAGCAGCGTTTGGGTTGAAGTCTTTGAGTTTATCCTCTTTTTACAGTATTTTTCCAGCACAATGAACGTACTGAAACTGAGTATAAAAGCCTCTTTGAAAAGTGCCTCTGTCTTTTTAACCTGAGAGCCTGAACTCAACTTTAACGTGACACACAGCTGATGTTGGAATATTTACTGAATGGTTGAATGTGTGTATCTGTGTGCTGAATGTAACTCAGTATATTTACGCAAGTGCTGTACTTTATACCTCTACTCCATTACTTCTTATAGGGAAATATTGTACTTTTTACGTCACTACATTTATCTGACAGCTGCAGTTACTTTTACATCTAAAAGTTAAAAGAACATAAAGTTAACTTAGATATTAAGTAGTTAAAAATTAGCCCACCTCGACCACATAAATTGAGTTTTTATAGTTTAGTATTATTACTTTTACTTGAGTAAAACATCTCAATACTTCTTCCATCATTACACACACACCAGCTTGTTTTTGTCTTTAGTTGGACACGATGCTTCTTTCTTCAACCTTCATTTACTTAATATATATATAACATATTATAGTTTTATTATAATCACCAAAACCCCAAAAGAATAAAATGTATAATGTTATTACACAGGAGAAGATTGTTATTCAATCATTTCATCAATCAATATATTGATGTATAGACTAATACTTTCAATACTATTCATGAATATTAACATACTACTTTTCTACATTGACATTTTTTAGCCTGTAAGTAAAATTATTACAGTGTACCACAGTGTAAAAATACACTGTTACAAGTCCTCTATTTAAAATACAGCATCTACTAGCATAAACAAATATAGTTTAAGTACCAAAAGTAAATGTACTCATTATGCAGAATGACCCCTGTCAGAATAATATATATATATATATATATATATACCAAACAGTATATCTGGTTAATAATTAATGATGCATTAATGTGTAAGAGCCACTGATGTTGTAGGTGATAAAGGCGGGGCTAATTTAATTTACTTTATATACTGATAGTATCTAAATCCATAATAATATACCATAATGTTTAAGTTGACTATATTTTATATTGATTATCAAATAAATGAACACTGGAGAACAACAGTGGCTTCTGAAATGTATCTGAGAAGAAGTATAAAGTAGCATAAAATGCTATACCTGAGATGCTTAAGTAAATGTACTTAGTTACATTCCACCATAGTAGATACAATACTAATAGCTCGATACAGTGACTGCGATATGATTCATTAATGTTTGCATCACGTTTTTAAGCCTTAAAGGAGAAAAACAGTTAAAATTGTGACGATAATATTGAGATTAATTGAGCCGATACCTTTATAATTAATAATATTAATAAAATATTAACATCATAACAAACACTGAGACAATAATACGTTTATTATTATAAACCTAAAGACAAATTATTAACAAAATCACTGATTTTAAATGTATATAACGATAACAGTTAAATAATAGGAGTGTAAGAAAGTATTTTAAAATATTGGATCGCAATATTTTGTCTTATGATATATTGATTATCAATAACACTGTATTGATTTTTGTAAACAGCAGTGTTATTATGTAAACTGGGTCTGTGATAAATGAAAATGTTTTATTAATCAGATCTTTCCCAAAAAGTTTGATTTAAAATAAGAAAAAATGCAATATATTGCCACATACAGAATCGCAATATATCGCAATATATTGAACCCTAACACCTGTATGTATCGCCAGATTCTTACCAATAAAAACCCTTATTAAATAATATAACATAATGTATAAAAACCCCTAACGAGTTCCCCACTGCGGGTATTAAACACTACAGACACCCTCGCAGTCAGCACCAGTCAGTCCTGCTGATGTAATGATTAATGAGCCAGTCGTTAAGTTATTCTGGGAGTCTGTGGGAAGAAAAGAGCCGCAGTTTAATCCCCTGGCAGTGCGCACACAGCCCACACTGCCGGCGCTGGAGGTAAGCTCAACCCACCGCGCACAGGACGCACTGCTGAGGAGGTTCCCGCTCCGTCAACACGACTCTGCGCTGCACTTTTCATCACCTAAAGTCCCCAACTTGGAGATTTTTATGCCAGCTTCTTTTTTATTTTTTAATAACATGAAATGATCTGATTGAGAAATGCCGCACACACCGGAGCAGTTTCGCGGGGATACACGGCGACAACACGGAGGAGAAAGTCGCGGCTGCTTGTAGAGCTACAGGTAGGAGCCGCTACTGACGTCAAGGTAGAGAGAGGAAGAGCGGGCGGTTCCGGGGAGGATTTCAAAGTAAAATCTGGGCATCAGTGGACACAAAAGAAGCTTATGCATGGACAAATGTTATCAGTGGGGTAGTGATGTCTAGTAGTATGTTAAAATCAAATATGAGTATGATTTGAGTTTATATTGAAATTTGACACAGAAAGTGCAGTAGATGTGTGTTGGTAGCACATTTATCAGAATGGAGTCCGGATTTCTCCAGTTAGCAATTTTTGTATTAAGATATTAAACTTGAAACTTGTGTGCATTATGTCCTGTTGCATTGAGGACTCTATATGCGTTACAAAAAGTGAATAATTTACCGCTTTTATTTTGAAGAATGTGAACCTGGCGTCTGTTTGAGAAACTTGACACTTGTTTATGTCTTTGATAGTAAAAGACAGGGTTCATTAAATAAGTGTTGTAGTCATATTCAAAGTAGCTCTTTAAAGTGGAAAAGTGATGACTTTTACCCAAACTTTTCTTATGAAGCCTGACATTACTTAAACCTTCCCAATAGAAAAAAAATGGATAAACTTTGTTTGGTGTCTTAATGAGACAACACAATCACTTTAGTGTTTATTTTGTATTTATTTTCCTTTTCCTCCCTTGAACTGCATGAAATCCCCTTTTGGGTTTCACACTAAACAGTAATTATTGTGCTGCAAATAGTCTTCAGTAAGAAGAACATTTGGAGCCTTGTAACGGCTTAAAGACACACTTGGGTCATCAAAGGCTGTTTTGAGGTGCTTGCACAATGGAGAGGTTATTTCAGGAGGTCTCAAGCAGTGCAGAGTCCAAAGGCTGTGCTTCTGTATCGGTTTCATTGACTGTCTGTGTTTGTGAAATCCAGGAGGACCAAATAAAGTACAACAACAAGGAAAAAGATCCAGGGACAATCGGCAAAGCTCTGAAAATGAACTGTCTTAGGCCTTATCTTTTCCTTTATTTTGGATTTTAGTACACTTGTTTTTCAGAGTTTTAACCAGATCGAAACAACTACAAACCCACTCTAAACAAAGCTGTGTGCCTGCTGTCTTCTAAAGGTGTTCACTTGACAATCCAATACAGAAAAGTTCTGCATTAATTAGAGTTTCTTTTAGCTCATTTACTGCAGCACTTGGCACATTTTTGGAAAAAGCCAGTGGCCTTGTCTGAGTTACTGAAAGCTCAGGTGTGGTAATATGAGTGGATACCCTGTTAACTGTCAAAAGAGCTCCTGTGATCAGAGAGCGTGTTTTAAGTGCTTGTACTTAATGCGTACAGGAAGTGGGAGGGTGGCAGCGCACTATATCCAACAGCTTAAAAATAGACAGTAAAAGAGAGATTTAAAAGTCATATGCATCGAACAACAACACTGAGCTACGGGGCGACAGGAGGGAGAGAAAGTACAGTGACTCCTCAGCAACAATCCCAATGGCTAGCAACCTTAACAAGATTACAGTTTATTGGATTGGAGGACGTCTTGTGACAGAGTGTGTCTCCTGAGACGAAAGAAGGACACGGAGGAGGAGAAGCATGTAGAAAGTTTGACCAGAGCAGCAGGGGAGGCCTGGAAGTGCAATGAAGACGTTTACTGTCCTCTGCGCTCTAATGTAAAGTCATTGTTTTACTTGTTGGTTTTGGAGAAGTATCACAGTGCTACCACGCTGAGTCATATGTATTGTTATGGGAAAAATGCAGTGTTGCTGTAAGAGTCGGCGTGTTTAGACCGTAAGATGAGTTACTGCTGAAACAAGAGTAAAGCTTTGACCATTATAGCACTGCAGCTACCCACCCAAAGTGTTTCCACTCCACTTCTCCTGCTTCACTAACTCCCTGTTGCATCCAGTTCAAGACTCTGGTGTTATTCTACTGGGTAGTCCTTTATATAGACCCTACACAAACATCAGGCAGAGCAGGTAACTGCCCCAGAACACCAGAACACCAAGTGCCTTCAAAAACCCCTCTTATAATTATAATGTGCTGCAGTTTGTGGTTATTTCAGTCACTGTGTAGGAATACGGGAATATGCTGCCTCTAAGAGGAACTCAGCAGACCTTGTTGACTATATTAGCAACAAGGTACACAATGAGTGGACTGGGAGGTTTAAAGGTTGCATATATGAGATATAAAACATTAATATACCAGTAATTAGAGTAATGATGTCCCACTCCCTCTGTCTGTGTTGCTATCCCAGCCTGTCTGTGCTTTGTTTATATAACCGGTCTGGCTGTGCATGTACAGTACAGTTAGTGTATGTGAGTCCGGCCGTGTTAGGAAGCCGTGGTTTCTCTCATCTCTCCGTTGGTGAATTAAGGATTTATTCTGACCAAACCAGAGCTGGTGATTGTTAAAACACATAGAAAGACTTTCAAAGTTTTATTTAGTTTCTGTTGAGTTTGAATGAAGCTACAATGTTATGATAATATGTGAAGTAATATTACCGTTTTTGTCTATGGAGTCTGGTGGCGAGTGATAGTGTCTATAATGTCTGACTGAATAACAATCTGAGTCTGTCGGTGGACAAATTTGTTCCCAGGGATTCTTTTACCGTCGCTATGGCAGCCCGTCTCTTCTGCTCATCTGCCGCAGGATTAAACTCACTTTTTTAGATTACACAGAAATGTCTAGTCTGGTATATTCTGTCCCCGTCACGGTCCGCTGACCAGCAGGAACAATAAAACTTAACTGAGGCAACATTTATTGTTTATTGTTTATCACTTGTTTAGTTAAAATTCCTGTAAACCTGCACAGACTAAATAGGATCAAAGATTTTAACTTCTTTATGGCAAAAAACATTTTTTCCTTTCACGTCATATAATGAGAATGTTTATCGCAGGGTTGTTAGTGTCAGTGACTCTGTGACTCTGTGATTAGAGCCAGGATGTGTTTCATAAGGTTTTTTTAGACTGCAAGCAAACATTTTGTGAATGGGGTAACCAGAGAGCCATCCAAAGTCTATTCCCCGAGCCCGTCGGACAAGGTCACACTGTGGTGTCAAAAAATTCCCAGCTGTCAGTTAAAGGGACATAAACAGTTTGTTTACTCCACGTAAATGAAAGATATGGTGAGAAACTGTCCACTGTCTCATGCAACCGTTTAAATCTCTGCAAGCTCAAATGAAAGTGAACCAATAGCTGTTTGAAATGTGGGAGATTAATCTCAAAATTCATTGTGTGTTTTTGAACAGTTATGTAAATAAATATATGACTTGCAGTTTTTGTGGTTTGCATGGTCTAAAACATGCAATGCAACTGGTTCATGAAAAACTTCCCAACAAGGGCTTCAGTAAAAATGCTTTGAGGCTTTTTTCCTATTGTTAAGGATGTTTTAATTTCCAGTAGTTGACAATTGTTAGGTATTTGTTTAGTTGAAATATGTAAGGATGCATTGTAAGTTTTAATTTCGCTGAGCACAACTACAGGCACCCTTTGAACATTGTTTTTAAGTGAACTGCAGGAGCACCACAAGGCTCCATTGCGCCGTCGGGCACACACCTGGGTTCAGCTACCTCTCTTAAAACCTTTAACCTCAGGCTTTAGGTGAAACCACAAACCTTTCCTTATCTATTACGCCTCCCATTCAATCCTCTGATCACAGATAACCAGTGAGATCTAAAACCTCTAGAACCAGGAAGCCTCTGTTGTTGGAACAGGTCAGCGGCTGACGTGTAGCTTCTGGCCAATTAGAGATAATACGTTGGAAAGCTGCATGAGGGAGCCTATTTCCATCAGCACCTGTAATTATACCTGGGCAGGTGGTAACGACTTCCCCTCTCCCAGAGGAAAATATGGCACAGGGCAGGTGGGTGTTTGTGTGTGTTTGTGAGAAAGAAAAAGAGAGATTTGATGTGCAGATGAGAGGGAGAAACATAAAAGAAGCTTTTCAGTGCTTGTGTTGTTTTTTTGACAACACTGCGAAGCATTTAGAGGATAACACCAGCTTTTCTTTCTTCTTAGTTATCTTCTAGATCAGTGATTCCCAGCCAGGGGGTGCGTGTACCCCAGGGGATACCTCTGCAGTTGCCATGGAGCACCTGGAAGACTGTGGATCTGAAGACTCAGATCATTTTAAAAAGTAAATTCGGATTTGATTAAAAAAATAGATCCAGATATTTGTTTTAAGGAAGAAAATAAACAGCAGAATGGGTTGTTCACAATAACAAGTAAGCTACCGGCTGTCTAGGCTCACTGCACAGTACATACACCAACCTGTGACACATTAATTAAGAACGTATTAAAACAATTAACTAATGGAAAATAACGCTAAAATAGTGGATAAACAGCTTATCAGTAATGGATAAATGGTTGAAGTATTGGATATAGGAAGTTAAAAGTAATAAACAGTTAGCTATAAGTAGGCCATAATGGTTATATAGTGTATCATTATATAGTTTGCTAATATATAGTTAAAAGTAATGGATAAACAGTTGCCATAGTTACAGTAATGAACAAAGGATGCACCAGTGGGCTAAACATCGTTATCAGCCGATATTCACCTTGTTTACTGACATCGGCCTATTGCCACATAAGACTGGCATTAGGCAGATGTCGGACGCAACTCAGATACTCTGTTTTTAAGCAAATACCAAACAGTGAGCAGCTATTCAGCTCTGCGTACACATCTTGGGTGAGAAGAGAAATAGACCCCAGATCCCTCGTACAAAAGGGAGAGTAAATAACAACCAAAAAAACCACTGGTAGCGGCCAAATTGTTATTTTAAACAATATATTTGTATCCGCCCAGAATCTCCCAATCGGTGCATCCATATAATGAACAGATAAAAAATGTTAGGTAGTAACAGTAATGGATATACTGTTGAAATAGTTAGCTAAAGTTAGTTTAATGTATTAAAGTAAAGGATGACAGTTAAAATAGATAAAAGTAATTCACAGCTTAAACTTAAACATTGGCAGTTCAAATGTATGAAAGATATATTGTTACAATATCCACTTTTATATTATCAATAATGTTTAAACATTCAGTTTAAAATCCATCCAACAGAACACAATTGAACCATGATGGGTGGTGGTGTTTGGTTAAGGGCCATTTGAGCTGATCTGATTGTACGGTGGAGGTACGACAGACAGAAAGGTTGCTTTTGTGGTCTCATTGTAGATGGAGGTTGCGAGGTTTGTTTTCCCTCCCACAGGAAGCCATTTGCTGCCATCCATTTCAAACTGTATGCAAAACAACTCCAACTAGCCCTTAAAATGACCTGAGCCACAATAATCCATCACAGTAAATGTTTCCTGAGAGTTTCAGCCTGAATCAAGTGTTTTTATATTAGCGTGTGTATCATGCTTCGCTGTACTTGTACGTGCAGTAAGAAATGTAAGTCTTTGTTTGAAAATATCCTACATTACACAAGTTATATGGTCATATCTTGAATTTTCAAGAGACATGTGGTGCTGAAAAGTTTCAAAGTGTAAAGTATATTTTAGAAGATGTTTGAGTCAGCTCACAGCAGCACACCAGGTCAGCCATCTGCACAACCTCTGAGGGGCTTTATTTCTTTGTAGACATCTGGGTGAGAGCAGACACCGACCGCATTACACAAGCACAACGAACACAGCTTTTTTGTTTTTGCTGAATAGAGATTTTTAATGTAGTGTACACCAGCAGAATCAGACTTTGAATGTTGCATCACCACTGTGTTGATTTTGAAGACAGAGTCCACTTGTTTGCCCCTATAAACCTTTAGAGGCCTCTTTGAGGCCAAACCTGAACACAAAAACAAACATCGTTTGCATGTGCATGAACGTCCAGCGGTGAGGTGCCTGCTGTTAACATAGAGCTGTGTGTTTGTGTGTTTAGGGCCAGGAGCATGACTGAGCAGCAGGAGCAGAGCGAAGAAACAGGCCTGCTCTCAACACAGGACCTGGAACCCTCCAAGGACGATGACACACACGGCCACTTCAGGCAAATCTCACACACAAACACACACTGTTTTCTGCAGCACTTGCTGTCTTTCCATGCTCCTTTCCCCCCCACACACCATCTGTATCCTGTGCGTGGTCATGGGTTACAGCCCTAGGAGATTTATTTTCTCAGCACTTATTTTTTTTTAATGCTTTTATTTCAGCTGTATTTGATGTCAAACAATGGTCAAACATGCACTCAAAGAGGCCGCTAACAAAGTTTTACAAAGGACGACCCAAAGGCCTGGAGAGAAGATATGTGCTTGGAACGTTTTATTGGCTGTAGTTAAACTTTAAAATGATAATAATGTTTTGTTAAAGTATTCATATGCATACTATATGTGTGTCTGCAGACAGTGTGTGTGTGTGTTATATAAGAAGGATTCCAGGCAGGAGCAGTGTAATCCTGGGGAATCTGTTCTGGGATGGGATTTAGCACTGAAGCATGGTGTGTGTTATTAGACTCAGTGAATGGGAGGGACTTTATGCACATGTCAGTCTCAAAAGTGCAGCATTCAGTAAGCAATGTGTGCATCTTTTATCCCCTCCCAGTGCTTCACCTCGACACTCCTCTGTTTGTGCAGGTAAATATTTGTTTACATAAGTATTTAAAGCTGCCTCCATTGATTTATGGTCACTATCAACATCAAAATAAACTGTCACAACCTCCACATTTCACTGGCTTATAAAGTCGTAATGATTGATGACTATTTACACATCTGGGACACACGAAGCGACACTAATTGTGAATTATGTCTCTGGCCAAGTGATTGTCTATCACTCTCTTTGCAGCTCTATTTTGGTCACCAACAACTTATATTTAGCATCTAGCTCCTGAGCTGCTAGACTGTTTACCAGCCCGTTGCCAACTGTGTCTGTCTGCCATTTTGTGCCAGATAGGTAGTATACAACTGGTTTATCAGAGTGACTGGACTAGAAGTGGCGGGCTATAGATGTTAATGAGAGGGGCGAGCTCTGGAGCGTAAATTAAAATGTGCTATAAAACCAAAACTATGAGCTAAAAGAGGATATAAGGGTACAAAATAAAATTTAAGCTGATTATTCCCTGTGGGTATGTCACTACAAGCGACCCCTTTCACATTGTGGGTTTATAGTTTGCATCTCACAAACACTATACTTCATTTTTTTCTATTAATTAATCCGTCTAACAGAGTATTCATAGCAGTGCTGTAATCAAGACCACCTTTGTTGAGTCTAAGACCAGGACTAGTTGAGTCAAGACCGAGTTGGAACAGGTTTGAGTCCAAATGAGAGAGAGAGTCAAGAAGAACGCTGCCTAGTAACCACGGTTAGGTAACCACGGTTACCAGGCGGCCAATGTCAATGCCAGTTAGATAGATTCTGAATTAAACCAATAACGGTTTTCTGAACAAGCGTACTTCATCAAAGTTTGGGTTTTTCTGAAGGAGGAAAAAAAAAAAACATACATTGCTGGACTCTAATATTTTGGTGAGACCAAAGGGCAAGTCTGAGACGAGTCAGAGTGCAAATACATCGAGTACTACAGCACTGATTTTAGAGCACTGCTATTCATTATTCCAGTTTAGTGTTTGCAGGATATTTGTCGTCTTTCTAAAGTTGAAAAGGATAAAAAATTGTTGTACATTTAAGTTTTTCCCAGTTATTTTATGTGAAATAATTCATTTAAAAACACAGTTTCCTTAAAAATTTGGCCTTTTCTTGTTCTATCTTCTAAACAGTAGAAATGAACACCCTTGCTCCCTTTACACAGGTCATGCAACATAATGCAAATGTCCTGCAGCCTCACTTGGGTTATAGTATACGTATAGAAGCAATTACATTGTTGGTCCAAAGCACTACAATGTTTCATCATTTGTTTGCACTCATGGTTTAAGGTATCACCAGTAAGTAAATGATCACACATATGGAAGTTGCTACTGAACTTTCACGAACACAGTGTCCTAATATTTGACCCTAAAGCTCTCAGATAATGCTTTAAAAGCGTAATGATTTCCTCATATGCAAGAACAAAATACAGCTCTGGTGACCTTTTGTGGTCTTAAACAAAGCTGATATGAAGCTACAGGTGCTCACTCACTGCAGTGTGTCTGTTGGCAGTACAAACAAAATATCAACTGACCATGTGGGTGATAAAAGAAGGACTTTGATATTTTGATTTTAAACTCATTCCTCATGGAAACTTTGAAGTCTCATAGTGACTCTATCAACTCTCGCTCCCAATTTATTCTCCTCCAGCTAAATTATTGACTGGAAGTCCACTTCTACACGGGCCACCGATGGGAGGTGTTCGCTTTCTAATTTAGGATTCAATTTAGGATTCTTTGAGGTTGTAATTAGTTTCACTTTTCAGCCTCACAGCCAAGGGCACTGAGATACAGTGACGAGGACGCATGCGCACACACACATTCACACACACACACAGACATTCACAGCAGGCAACATCTTGCTTTGCTCACAGGGGTTTAAGCTGATACACAGGTTTTAGTTTAATTTCCAAACCACAGCTTCTGAAATGTAAAGATCATAGATAGCTGTTCTTGCTCTGTGAGGGTTTTTGAGTTATTATACCTCAGGTGCAGGTTCACTACCGTGTACACAATTCGATCCACAGTCCACTGAGCCTCCTGGCACCTGGAAAACCAACTTATGTTGCTGCTATGTGAAACCCTACAAGCTTACCTTTACTGCTTCGGTGATTTTTTTTTCTGTTTTTACTTCAGCTGGAAAATTCAGTGGTTCAGTTCAAACCCTCTGAATCATGTCCAAAATAAACCTAAAGACACATTTTTATTGAAAGCTAGAGCTAATGTATTTTCCACAACTGTCCATCATTTCCCCCGCCCCCCACGCGACATCCCAGCATGACCTTGTTTTATACCCTTTTGTAAAAAAAAAAAAAAGCTTTACCTTGACGCACCGCCTTCATAGCTCTCTTAACATCGTGATGGGAATTGCCTGTAGCGGGTTTTCTTCTTACACTCACCTTGATGTACCAGTAGTATTGATTAAGACCTGGATCTCGTGTAAAAGAGAGAGACAGATGGAGAGTGAGAGCGAGGACTAGAGAGGCCCGGTTGGTCCCCACAGAGCTGCCTGTGTTTTTAATAATCACTCTCTTCTCTCCACCTGGGAGTGCGAGAGCCACTGTGGGTCCTATTTATAGGCAGCAACCAGCAGGTAGAGCTGCACACATGCACTATTGTTCATAACATGGTCACAAGATAATGGGTTGTCTTTTCTAGGTGGGTGAGTTTAATGAGGAAAGTGATGAATTTGCACATCTAGGACTAAGACAATTTTTTTTACATTGAATAATTAAATGTTGGAAAGGTTAAACAGAGGGTATCGATGACCTGATTTCTGCTGTAATTTAGTTTGGTTGTGGATCAATTATTAAATGTAACTTTTTTTTTGGAATTCTGACCTTTAAAAGTACATATTTCTTACATATTTTAGACCCTATTTTACTTATTTAATGCACAGGAGTAAGTACATAACCCACAGTATGATGTTCTAGTGGGAAAACAAAATAAGTAACAATGGAGAAATTCAACTGTTACAGCAGAAAAGAGACTATTTTGCAAGTTTTGGAGATTTTGGACGGGTGCAGGTTTGGATTTTGGGGTTTTACTTACTGCTGTTTTTGAAGATAATATGTGATGTAAAGGGAGGGATGTATCACTTTAAATGAGGCCATAAGGCGTCCAGCAAATCCAACAGGAGAGCTGGGTGCGCTGCCACAGCTGTACTGCTCCGCTGTAAACAACAGCCTCATCCTGCTCTTACACAAGCACACACACACACACACACACACACACACACACATACACAGCAGGCGACCATAGCATCTGTCAATACCCTCTCCTCCTCTCTGACACTTTAACCCTGATTTGTCCAGCCTTGTGAATCCCACTTTGGTCCTGGTTAGACCTGGTATTAATAATAATAATGTGATCTGATCACCCTGATTCTCTAAATGAAAGAAATTGATGGAGTAACAATACAGACAAAGATTAATGACCTAATGCTTAAAGACATATAGACTCATATTACACCCAGGCACAATGAAGCCTCCAGTTTAGAGCAGTGCTGTGCACACGTAGTGCGGTGGAAACAATAACAGCAACGCCTGTACACTATATTACAGTCCAATATATCAGCCGTTGAAGAATTTCTCCCTTGCGAAGCCGATAATGTCCGCTGTTGTTATTATGTAAACCAGCTCTGTGTTGAGCTTGAAAATGTCATGGAGACGACACCATAGTAGCTAATTATTCCGTCCTTTCCACGCACTGCTCATCTTTTTCAGGCATGATTTGTTAGCATCGTTCTTCTCTTAGTATATCTCGTATTCTGTCTCACAACTGCTGCTGACACCCTCATCTTACCGCTTTTTACTCACTGTTCTTCCTCTTTTTATTTAGAGGTTAACTTGGAAACCCGCTAAACTTTAACACACACGTTTGTACGTAATGCTGCGCTTTTGTCTGATATTACTGTAGGCCATCTTTCAATAGATCTGTTGCATGTGAAAAGACAGTAAACAAAACAAATAAAGGGATATTATTTGATAATAAGTTAATAATAATTATTATTTAGATTTGTGTAATATTCCCTCATTTGGTTTATATTGTATTGTATAGATGATGAGTTTCCACTCCAAAATAATATAATTTCTAATGAAGACTATGGTGATTTTCCACTCTTGATAACATGTTTAGTAAAATACTTTGTGTCTGTTTTTACATTCTCAGATTTAAGCTTACATTAGTCGTTTTGCTGTGCGCTCAGACGTAGAAATCAGCATTTCCCCCTGACATAATTATCTTGGTGTCATCATGACAGACGCCCCGGCGGTCAGGGAGAGTTGTGTGGAGGACAAAGGTCACACTATCTTCTTACCCAGAGGAGAGTCTCTGATCAGAGCAGGGACACTGACAGTCCTGATGCTATAGAGGTAACAGCGAGGGGTATTTTAACATACTGGCACCTTGCTGTAAACAAGGAGAGGACACTGTTCAAGGAGAATACAAATGTGGTGCTGTTACATTATGATGAATCATAGGGCAGCCATGTTGAGAAATGCATTTGCATTTAGTAATATTTTAAAATAACTAGAGAGGACGAACATTTCTTTTTATGTTTCACTTACTCTGCATTTGCATTCAAGTTTTTACAGACCTGTGCATACGGCTAGTCAGCTGATGACCCATGTCTAACGTTAAGTGACATATTTTCTTATTATATTAAAAATTGTATAATTAACCCAACTAGTGAACTCAATAATGCAAGACATTTGAGTTAAAGGAGATTTGGATTAATTTTTCAGCAGATTATTTCTAGTTTAGGGAACTTTTATGCAATTATCTGTCTGTATTATATATTTTAATCCTTTTTAACAAACATACATTCTTAAAAGGCTTTCTTCATGGCCTTTGTTCTATTAGACAGTCTGTTTACTTTACCTACATTTGTTCACAGAACTGAACCAAATGCTCAGATATAGGCATACTGTGTAATGTTATATTTTTATTTTTATTATAATTATTATTTTATCTTTTAACCATCTTCAAAATTGGCTCTTTTAGACTTTTTCTTTTCCAACGATGTTCGACCGTATGTTAAACCCTTAGTTACTGTTGCTTAGCGACCTCCATGCAGTTAGTTAGTTCCATTTAACAGTTAACTTAAATTCTTAGTAGTTAATTTTAATTAATTGATTTCAGATAAAAGGAAACAAAAGCAGCTATCTGATTTCTAGCCAGTTTTTGCCATTTGAAATGACAAATGTTGCTGGCATTTTTCTGTTTTTCTTAAGCTAAATTACTCCATGAGTTGGCTGATATTTTAATGTTTCCAACTCATTTTCAAAGGAGAGAGAAAAAAGAAAAGGTCATGCTAAAGCTGGCAGAAAGGAAACATCTTCATCAGTTGATGATTTATGTGGAAGACACCGAAATGAAGAAACATCTTTGTTCTTGTATTGCGAAGTAAAGCTAGGTTATCTTGTACTATACGCAGTGGTGGAAGGGGTACTGATATGTTTTACTAAACTAAATTAAAGTATGAATACTGTTACAATAATGTGTGTTTGGCAGATGTTACAGTCTTCCTATCTCCTTCACATTGTTCCTGATAGACTCTGTAGGGTTGAAGATATCAAGGCTGACATCCCCCCGTCTTCATTTGATGCCTTTCACTGGTTGCACAGTATGAAAAATGGCTTCCACGGAGTGAGATAATCCATCACAGTAAACATGAAGCTGCAATTTAGTTTTGCCAGAGCTTCTGTTTTTTTTTTTTTATCAGTATCTCCTTGAGCGGGAGTGTTTTTCATATCAGCACTGCGTTGTGTCGCTGTCAATCACCTAACAGCTGCACTCACAGAAAGATACAGGAAGAAAAGGGGGACGTGTGTCAGAAAATAATCCCTCAAAACCATCAGGCCCTTTTATTGTTGCATACATGTCATCTTCTTAAAAGCATCTTAACTGGAACAGCAGTTCATTTCAATGACATTTTCCTGAAGGGGCTGATTATACTGTATTTTATCTGCTGAGTGGTTCTGTCTGCATAAGCAGTAGATATGAGTATCATGCTGTGACATCTGCTGCACAGCTCTGACGATTCCTCCTGAGGCGAACTTGATGCCAGTGATGGATGTGTCTTTGTGTCTGTGTGTGTGTGTGTGTGTGTGTGTGTGTTGATGTATTCTGACTATAAAAAGAACAACATGGATAATCTCCTGGCACGGTCAGTATTTGTGTTTAAACAACTCAATATTTATCTTTTGATTATATTACTTTGCGACAGCCTTCGTCTCCCTGCAGTTATGCACACACTGATGATTAACTCGTCGTGTGGAAGCTTTGACCCAGCTGGGATTTTCGTGCAATGTACACACACACACACACTCAGGATGCACTCGTTTTGCATACATGCACACAAGCTAACCACCATTTGGCGTGCTGGGCCGGATGAAGGCATTAATTTGCCTTCAGATGTGCTTTTAAGAATATATATTTGTCCACAGTATTACATTTAGTCTTGTAGATGCATTATTTTTACTTGCAGAAGAGTTTAAGAGGTAAACATACGTATAAAGAAGTGTTGTTTTTCCTTTCATCACAGGTTTCAGCTGATTGAAGACCTGTCCTATGAAGATGTGAAGAAATGTTACCGTGGCTCAGTGAGTCTCTTTTGATCCTAATTTGTTTCTGTGTCTGTGACTGTAGCAAGTCCAACCAGTTTTACACATTTTTTACCATAATGTTTCATCTAAGATAAAATTGGCCCAGCTTTCCCTCTCTCTCCCTTTTGAAAACTTCAGTATTTAAATATCTTTCAAACAGATCTGTGTCATGTCTAAGGATGCAGAGTCTGATTGCAATCTGATGCATGTTTTATTTATTTATATTTTGGGAATCATCTATGACGACATGCTAACAAGCCTGAAAAACTAACATGCTGCCAATATAAATTTATGCAAAATTATCACCTGCTATTTTCCTGCTCACAACCTCAATAATGTGAGATTAACAAATGATCATATGTTAATTTATATGTTTATATAAATTATATGTTTAGCAGCATTAATTACTATTTTTATTATCTTAAAATACATATAGAAGAGATCTTGCATGATGAAAAACAGAAAACTGAATATAATGAACAATCTAACTTATTTACATACACCCTAGCTTTCTTTTTTGTTTTTTGAGGGTAATGTTAATGTAATGTGGTTAAAACTGGCAAATTGTCCCACATTTTAAAAAAACTGTCATAATTTTGTACTTTGGAAATATACTTGTTAGTATAGTATTTGTTAATATAGTCCCGCCCAGTGTTGTTCAGCCTTTATAAGCCACACACCTATAAATCCAGTCAGCAAAGGATTAAATTAAACATTTATTAACAGTACACACTAACACTGGGCTTTCCCCCCAGTGGTGATTGAGCCCTATGCATTACTGTAACCTACTGTAAGCGCCATATTCCTGAGGACAGGAGCTGCTCCAGCTTGAGCTATTAATAGAAAGACAAAAACAGGAGCGTCAGACAAAGCAAACTGAGCCGATACGAGTGGAAGATAGACAAGATACAGGATAGGATAGGAGAAGAAAGGGGAATGAAAGTCTGGTTGCAGAGATATTTAGAGCTGGAGGTGAGTTTGAGCTGTGAGGGAGGAGAGCCGGGAATGAATGAGACCTCTTGTGTGTTCACGGAGAGAGAAAGAATGTATGATTTGCTCTGAAAAGTGAGGATTTTTTAGTCTGACACCACAGAGAGGAGCGGAAACTGACAGATAGAGGGGAAGAGGGGAAGGCAAAGGCAGAGAAAGTGTAAGAGTAGTGAGAGGGAGTACCTGTGTGTGTTTGAGTGTGTGCGAGAGTGGGTGTTGTTGTTTTTTTACAGCTCAGAATGATGAAGGGCAGAGTGTGTGTGTGTATGTGTGTTAAGGAGGGAGAAGGAGAAGGGAGGGTGTCAGCTGGGTGCTGCAAAGTGTAGAGTCACTGGAGGTGTATTTGAGACAGAGAAAGAGAGCCTTGTAGTTTCTGAGAAAGAGCTCAGTGGCTGTAAACTGAGGCTTTTGCTTGTTTGTGACTCTGTAGTAGCTGTGGTATACACATTAGAGCCAGGTGTGTGTTTGTGCATGTAGATTAGAAGTAGTGGCACGGAGGCAGCCCTCTATCTCGGCCCAGCGTACTGACTGGCGACAGGGGAACAGTGTGTGTCTTGCAGCAGCTTGCTCCAGGCCTTGGATGTGCGCGAGTGTGTTTGTGTGTACGGTGCCAACGTGCTGAGCCTGGTGCAGAGCTCGCGTCCTTTGAGGGAGAGGGTGGTGTCTGCGGCGAGCGGAGCCGGAGGTGGTGGAGTGGCCGGTGGTGCTGGTGGTGCTGGTACTGTGCAGGCAGGCCGGTCCACCAAGGAGCTGCTCATGACTCTGCCCTGTCCCTCTGCACAGACTGTCAGCAAGTACAACTCGCAGTACCACAAATTGTTCCAGTGCGTGCCCAAGGATGAGATCCTCATGAAAGGTACTGTCCTTTTTTACAAATAGGGAAACTTTTTTTGACTGTTTTCTACTGCAACATCTCTTTTATTAATCAATTTCTTAGCATTCTTGGACATGTCATTCTTCAGTTTCACTATAATTTGCCTGTTATGCATTTGTATTTCCTTTGTAATCCTCTCAGCCTGTTTTAACTGTAGTAACTCTTCTTGTGAGCTGCTGTTATACAGTAATATGGGACTGATATTAGCCTTTTATTAGATATCAGATATTAGCTATAACTGTGATCTATAGCTGAAATGATTAGTCGATTAATCAATTAGTGAATCATCATGTCATTTATCAAGCAAAATCAATCAAAAATTCAAAAGTTTTCATTTTCCAGCTTTTCAGTTGTGGAGATTTACTGCTTTTCTGTTTTTATGTCATTAGAAATTAAAACAATTTGTGCATTTTAACCATTTTTTTTTACATTATAAAGGCTAAATTAGTAACTTATAGTCAGCAAAATAATCAATAATGTGTCATTAGTTGTGGATATAATGGAAGCCACATAAAAGAAGAAGATTTCTAGTATGCAGGAGTTTTTAGTAACATTAAGGAAAGAAGGAGATGTCATGTTACAGTGTCTTTCAGTGTCACGTGATGGTCTAAATTCTGTTTAATAGGCTTCTACACCCAGATTATAGAAACATTTATGATTCTCAGTATCTGTACAAAATCCCAGATGTTTTGAACAGCTGTAATTTGCTGGTACTGCATATTCAACAATAGTATCTCTACTTGTATATCAAAAGCCCTACATATCAAATGCGAGTAATGCTACTGTATAGTTTCTTTTTGTATAGTCTATTCCTTTTCTTCTTTTTAGTAATTTGAAGTGGCCGTCTTGGCACCGCACAGCTCAGATTTCAGGATGACCAACTTCTCCTGTGCAGTATCAACCCATGTTTGCACAGTTCAACCTCGTTTACCATAAACTTTCAGGCTATGTGCAACCTTATTCAAAGGAAACCAATGATGTGAAACTTGTTTTTTCAGTTTTGCAGTCGGAGGGTTCGGAGATCTTGTTTTAATAACAAAAACAAGAATGTTTTTCTTTATCAATTTTTGCAATTGTTGATTAAGGACGAGAAAAAAATGTGTTTTTGTCTCTTCTGTTCTCAGTGTACTCCTGTGCTCTTCTCAGAGATATCCTTCTACAAGGCCGACTCTACATTTCCAGAAACTGGCTGTGTTTCTATGCCAACCTCTTCGGCAAGGACATTAAGGTACAAATGACTGACAGACAGCTTAATGAACTCAAACTGACTGACAAACTTTAACTCAGTGACTCCCAGTCACAGTCTGACTAGCTGATTGAACAACTTGACAAATTATTTGACGGAAAGTCAGTCAAGATAATGGGCCGACTTTGAGTGTCAGAGTCTTAATTCTCCCTCGTAGAAAATCTCTCTCTATATATATATATGTCTGCAAAAGTTATGTACCAAGAACAGGTAGACTCAGTGAACCTTTAACCTTAACCAGTTATGTGATTTTCTCTTTGATGTTGTGCATTGTTCCTTTTCTTCCATTTCACTGAAACCAAACCTCTCCTGACATTGGAGTGACAATAAGCTACTTATTCAGGCTGCATTCCTCACATTCTGACTGAAACAGGACACGTTTTATGTCCACTACGGATTTTCTCCAGGGGCTTTTCCTGAGTGTATTTCAGTGTCTGCTCTGCCACCATTTACTCAAATAAGTTTTTATCATACCTATATTTGTCTGATTATCTTCCTCTTAAGTTTGCCTCCTCAGGTCTGAGTGTCTCCTTATGGATGTTATTTTTGTGCCCTTTTCCATCTCACTTAGGTGGCTATTCCTGTCGTTTCTGTGAGGCTGGTGAAGAAGCACAAAACAGCGGGACTTGTGCCCAATGGCTTGGCTATCACCACAGACACCGGCCAGAGGGTAAACATTTCCATCACAGCGGCTGTGAATTAAAATACTTGGGCTGATTAGAACAGCGTGGCTGTATCTTCCAGGAGAGGTGTGATGGAAAAAACAACACCATGCTATAGATAGAAGCAGAGCGGAGTCCCAGCTTAGTAGCGCAAGAGAGTGAAGGGTTTTTCCACCATTACAACAATGTTCAGAAGGGCTCCTTATCTTTCTGTCACATCAGCCTGTCATTAAGTGCCGTTTTCAAAGACATAATGTACTTTTCAGCTTCTATTCTGGCCCCTACAGCCCATTAAAAACAATAGTTAACAAGCTAACATTAGTATGTGGTGACATCTTTTACATCCACATTTCTATCTCGCAACATAGAGAAGACAGGAGAGAGAAAGCAAATTCATTTTTTTATTCAGTCATTTGA